TCTCTCTCTCTCTCTCTCTCTCTCTCTCTCTCTCTCTCTCTCTCTCAGGAGGGGATAATGGGATTTGAACTTGGGGTTTCACACTTGCTAGGCAGGCACTCTACATCTTGAGCCACACCTCCAGCCTTTTTTGCTCTGGTTATTTTTGAGATGGGGTCTTGCTTTTTGTCTAAGCAGGCCTGAACCACCATTCTCTTATTTATGCTTCCTGGATGACAAGCACACACCACCATGCCCAGTTTTGTTGTTGTTGTTGTTGTTGTTATTGTTGAAAACAGATCTCCAGAATTTTTGATTGGGCTGGCCTGAAACCTCAGTCCTGATTCCAGACTCCCACTAGATGGACTGACAGGTGTGAGCCACTGGTGTCAGCTTTTTGTTTGTTTTGTTTTGCAGTGCTGGAGTTTGAACTCAGGGTCTATAAGTTGAGCCACTCCATCAGTCCTTTTTCATGATGGGTTTTTTCAAGATAGGGTATCATGAACTATGCCTGGGCTGGCTTTGACCCGGAAACCCCCTAATCTCTGCCTCCTGAGTAGCTAGGATCACATGTATGAACCACCAGTGCCTGACTTGGCTTTAAAAAAAAAAAAGATGGGGTCTCATTGGACTGGGGGCATGGCTCAAGCACTAGAATGCCTGCTGGGCAAGTGCAAGGTCCCTGAGTTCAAATTCCAGCACAGGGAGGGAGAGAAAGAGAGGGAGGAGGAAGGGAAGGAGGAAGAGGAAGAGAAGGAGGGGGAGGAGGGGGAAAAGGAGTAAGAAGAGGGAAGAAATGGGGTCTCACTATGCTACGCAGACTGGAGTTCAGTGGCTACTCACCGGTGCAATCCCACTACTAATTTTAGTGTGAAAACCTGACTGGCGTAGCTTACTATGGCGCTAACCACTGGGCTCAAACAATCTTCCTTCCTCAGGCTCCTGAGTAGCTGGGACTAAGGGAGGGAGATCGGAAGAAAACAGACTAGGCGTGAGTCCTGAGAAAGTAGCAGGGAGGTAGGGACGGCATAGCAGAGAGATAAAAACTGAGAAATCTGAACATGAGGAAGGTCACGTAGCACCAGGGAAGGGAAAGTCACGTAGCACTAGGATAAAGTAGCCAATAATATTAAATATAACTATGCATAGATTAGGCCTTGCTTTTTGCTTCTGTAACCTGCATGCAAGGGTATATAAGGTATATAAGGGTATATAACCCCTTTGCTCTCGGGGCTCAGCCTTTGGACATGAGTCTGCAGCGTCTGTGCTGGCACAATAAAACATTGCTTCCTGCTAATTGCCTCAGAGTCCTGTGTCTCAGCTAGCAAACTCCCACAATACTGCCACTGTGCCCAGCTGTCTTCTCTGTGACGGTATCTTTCATAGAGCACATATTTTAAATTTTAGTGAAGTCCAGATTATCAATCATTTCTTTCACAGTTAATACTTTAGCATTTAGTATTTAGTGTTGTACTAAAAAAATCATTACCAAACTAGAGTCATCTAGATTTTCTCCTATGTTATCTTCTGGGGACTTTGTGGTTTTGCATTTAGGTCCATAAACCATTTTTAGGTAAAAGATGCAAGGTATTTGTGTACATTTTTCTTTCTTCTTTCCTTTCTTTTTGCCATTGAATTGCCTTTGCTCTCTGGTCAAAGATCACTTGACTGTATTTGTGTAGGCTTATTTCTGGACGCTATTCTGTTTCATTAATCTACTTGTCAGTACAATAATGTCTTGGCTTCTGTTGCTTTATAGTAAGAGTGTGTGTGTGTTGGCAAAGCAGAGACTCTACCACTTGAGTCATGTCCCCAGTCTTTTTTTTGGCTTTAGTTTTCAGGTAGGATCTTGTGTTTTTTTGCTAGGGTGGTCTAGACTAATATCCTCCTACTTATACCTCTCATGTAGCTGGGGTGACAGGCACAGACCAACACCCCCAGCTTTTTTGTTGAAATGGAATCTGGAATCTTGTTAACTTTGTGCTTGAGCTGACCTCAAACTGACTTCTCCCAATTTCTGCCACCCAAATACCTGGGATTACAGGTATGAGCCACTGTGCCCAATTTATAGTAGTCTCTTCTTCTTTTTCTTCTTCTTCTTCTTCTTTTCTCTCTCTCTCTCTCTCTCTCTCTCTCTCTCTCTCTCTCTCTCTCTGTCTCTCTCTTATCTGGTACTGGGGTTGGAACTCAGGGTTTTTCACTTACCAAGCAGGTGCTCTATCATTTGAGCCATGCCCCCAGCCCTAGTAACTCTTGAAGTCATTAGTGTTGGTCCTTTGACTTTGTTTTTTCTTTCAATATTGTGTTGGCTATTCTATGTCTTTTGCCTCTCCATAAATTAGAATCAATTTCTCAATACCCACAAAATAACTTGTTGAATTTTGATTGGGATTATATTGAACACATAGATCAAGCTGGAAGAAGTGACATATTGACAGTGTGAGTCCTCATATACATGAATATAGTATATTTTTCCATGTTTAGATCTTTGATTTCCAACAGATTTCTAGTTTTCTTCTTCTAGATTTTATAATACTTTGTCAGATCAGTATTTTGCAGTACTAAAGTTCGAACTCAGAACCTTGCCCTTGCTAGTCAGGGTCTCTACCACTTGGGCCATGCTCTCAGCCCCATATCATTTGTATCTAAGTACAGCCATGTGCCACATAGTTATGTTTCAGTTGACAATAGATAACCTATAAGATGGGTAGTCCCAGAAGATTTTATTGCCTAGTGATGTCATAGCCACCTTAGTTTGTGCAAGTACACTGTGATGTACAATGGCAAAATCACGTAACAATGCATTTATGAGAGCATATGCCATCTTTAGGTGACACATGACTGTATTTCACTTCAGGAGATGCTAATATAAGTGGTGTTGTGCTTTTTGAAGACACTTTAGATGGCATCTTAACTCAAGAAGTGTAGTACAAACAGAGCACATAACTCAGTTGAGGTGATAACAATATGAATGGCTATGATCGAGTTGTCTTAAATGCAGGGAAAATCTACCATGCTTACAAGACACCATTAATGTATGCTAGATCCTAATCTCAGAGATGTTAAAATATACAGAAAATGTATGAGTTAGGATGGACAGAATATGGTTAGGGTTCAAAGAATTAATAATGGCACTCACCCAATTTCATGAATCCTTGTAACCAACTTCAAGCCCAAAATAACTAGCAAATTTCCCCTTTTCTCAGTCTATATCCTACAAGAAAGCAAATCTAACTGATCCACTCTTTAGCTTTATGGATTGCTAGTCTCTGTTTATTACTCTGGTTGCTTATAACAGACCCAAGTTAACAATGTCTCAAACAGGATAGGACTTCATTTCTTGCTCACAAAACAGTTAGAAGGTAGGTGGCCCAAGGTTGTAAGTGTTTCTGCACCTCCAGGCTATCCAGGGGCCCATGCTCCTCAGATGCTGTTTTACTATCTTTAGGGGCTATGCTCATCCACAGAGTCCAAAGGCTCAACTCTAGGCCTGTATTCCTGCCAAGAAGAAGGAGAAAGTGAGGGCATGCTTATTTCCTACACCACCACCAAAGTTAAACATCACTTCTGCCCTTTCTTCCAGGACATAACTTGGTCACAAGACCATAGTTAGTTGCAAGAGAATCTGAGAATGTAGTTTTTAGCTGAGCAGCCATATTCCCAGCTAAAAAGTCTATTACCACATTAAAATAAAGAATGGGCTGACTCCCTATCTCTGCCATATACGGGTCAGGCATATATTTCTGCTCTACTGAGCTATGGACAAGGAGTATGGGGTCATACGAGTTAGACAGATTCCCTGGAAGGGATAATTGTCCATCATCTGTTCCATCCTTTGTCTTTCATAATAGTTCCCTTAATTTTCCAGCTTGGTGGTTAAGATGGAATTGAGGTCTTCTCCCGTTCTGGAGTGGTCCCTAAGCGCATCAAGTCAATTCACATGTTCCCACCCCCAGTCCACAGTGACCTGGCTCAGGGACAGGCACCGAACCTGGCCAAGCAAAGGAGAAGTTTGGAGGGGTAACATGGGAAAGAAGCTTCCTCTCTTCCAGGAAAACACAAAGAGATTCTCTTGCTCCGATGGTGTGATGTAAAGACATGAGGTCTGGAACTGATGGCAGCAAATCCTGCCATCAGGAAGAGCACCCAGCTGAAGGAAGTAGCCCACACCAAAGAAAGGAACAGCAGAGAAACAGAAGAATGCTGATGACATCTTGAATTTTTGGATAAGACTGCAATTGATATTAGATCTACCTTCAGATACTTTGATTGCCTGAACCAGTAAGTTCCCTCTTTGTTTCAGTAGAGTTGTTTTTGTTGCTGTTTGTGTTTTGCAGTGCTGGGGATCAAACCCAGGGCCTCAGCTAGGCGCTGGAGGCGCATGCCTGTAATCCTAGTTTCTTAGGAGGCAGAGATCAGGAGGATAAAGGTTCAAAGCCAGCCAGGCACATAGTTTTAGAGACCCTATCTCAAAAAAAACCCTTCACAAAAAAAGGCTGGTGGAATGGCTCAAGGTATAGGCTCTGATTTCAAATGCCAATACTGCAACCAAAAAAAAAAGAGGGGGAGGTGTCCTTAGGCATGCTAGGCAAGTGCTCTACTACTGAGAAACACCCCCTGCCAAGAATTGCTTTTTGTAATACCTTATATAGTTCCTTAAAATGGACTCAAAGAGTCCAGGAGTGGTGGCTCACACTTGTAATTCCAGCTACTCAGGAGGTAAAGATCAGGAGGATAGTGGCTTGAGGCCAGCCCAGGCAAAAAAGTTATTAAGACCCCCATCTTAACCAATAAGCTAAGTGTGGTGGCACACACAAAGTCCAGGAGGCCCCAGACAAAAATAAGACCCTTTCCAAAAAATATAACTATAGCAAAAAGAACAAGGGGCATGGCTTAAGTGGTAGAGTGCCTGTGT